TCAAATCCAACCCGAATTTGAAGGGTTTTCATATTCAACATCTTTTCTTACTGGAGCATACGCATTATCATATTATTCAAATTGTAAAACTGCAATAGTTAATTTTCCTAATTCATCACGAGTAGAAAAGATAGTTTGTGATAATAAACCAGGATATACACTAGTTTCAAAATATGACAATGCTATATACTTTTATGTATTTCCAGAGGAACTTCATATTTTAAAGTATAGTAAAGATTTTACACATCAAGTAGTAAAATTTAAAAGTGATAGTCAAACGATTAATGGGACTTCATTAGTAATGGAAAATGAATTTTATATTTATTTAATTAGTACGTCTAAAATAGTTACAATAGAAAAAAAGAATCCAACAGAAGTTAAAAATATTTGTCCACTTGATAACAGTTTTAGTTCATTTGCAAAAGAATCATGTGTGTTACCAAATAATAGAATTTTATTAGCTGATTCAGTAGTTAATATGGGTAACGTACATTTTAAAGTTTGGGATCTTATTGCTAAGAAAGTAGTTGCACAATTATATCGTGTTCCTGGTGAAAATGAACCAAGTTGTTATCAAGTGTTTCATGATGAAATTTATATGGCTATGGGAACTTGTGTTTATTATTGTACTATACCAACAAAATTAAATCCAGATAATATTGTTGTATTAGAATTTAGTAAATATGAGTTTCATGATCGTTCTATTCAATCATTCCTTGTAGAAGATGATTATGTTTTTATTGGAGATTCTTATGGAATGGTAACTTTGCATTCTTTCCCATCATTTGAATATCTTCATTCACTTGCACTTGGAGTTGAAAGAGATGAACAAGTAAAATTCTTTGATGAAAGACCAGTATTTAGTTTCCGTAATTCAGTTGTTGGAATGAAACGAGTATTAAAGTATCTTGTATATTGGTTATTAAATGGAACAGTTTGTATTGCTAATTTTTTTGCAACAGAAAGGCAAGTTGATTGTTTATCATTTGGAGATAATAAAAGACAATTAAGAGAAATATATTTTACATTTAATGAAAAATTGAGTATAAGCATGAGATTTAATGTACTTAAAGAACAAAATTCTGCAATTATTCCACTTAATGAATTTTATACTTGGGAAGTTCAAATGCCTTCAAGAATTAGTCCTGAGTTAGCATATGTTGGATTTTTCCAAATGTTTCCAACAATTATTAAAGGAATTTATTCAGCTCTTGATAATGGGTCAAAAAATACTGAAAAATTAAAAAATGTTGTTAAAGAATGTTATTTTATTGTTACGACTATTAATTCAATTAAAGAACATACTGGAGCTCTTATTCCATTTCAGTTTTTTATTGAAATGGTAGAAGGGATAAGTGAAGCACATGCATTTTGTGATGACTCATCAAAGAAATCACAAGAAGAAATTATTGATATTTTAAATAAATCAATAAATGATTTGGTTGTTGGAATAGATGATTCAGTGGCTATTGCTCAACATAAGATTGATATGGTTAAAGATCCAAAATTTATTGATCCAGGACAACCGTCTTCATTTGCAATGAAAGCAACTCATTATAATCAATCAATGAGAAAACATTTTATGGAAGATTTATTAAATCCTAATTATGTTATTGATGAAAACGATCATAGAGTAAAATTCTTTTATATGAATTCTAGTTGTTTTCTTATTCAAAAGCAAAATGATTTTCATAAACATATGAATCAATTTACTGAGTTTTGTCAAAGTAATGATGTAGGTGCTCTTGTAGATGCTCAAGAATTAGTTAAAATTAATGCTCTATTAGATCAAGTTTGTTTTTTTTTTAATTTATTTAATTAAAGTAATAAGAAAATATTAATAGTATTAGATTCATGACGAAATTCAAGAAACACGTGATGATATTAAAGATATTGTTTCAACAACATATGCCTCAGATAAATGGTTACATGAATTAGATTTCATTAATGAACAACTTCCATTAATTTAACAGTATTCTTTTTTTTTATAATTTAATTTAATAAATCATCTATTTTCTTAAATTTAAAAAAGAAATACTTAAAATAGAAAACATTCTGACATTTTAAATATCAAATAGTGAAAAAAAAGAATTTTTAATATTTGTTCATTATATTCTATAATCAACAACACTCTTATTACTATTATAGAACTGATAAATGTTAAATGATTATACTCTTTAAAGATTTACGTGATTTTTTATATAAAAGTGTTATAAAATCTATGCCAAGTGTTTACAAATTACAAAGAAAGAAAAATAAAGTTCTTGACATTTTTTTCTTAATTATTACTCATTTGGCAGGAGTAGGTGTATATTGTGCTTTAATTCCAACAGCATGGTGGATTCATCCATCATCAGAATCACTCAGTATTAGTAATGACTTATTATACCTAATATCAATTACTACATATTTAGGTAATTTTATGAAAAATTTATTTGCTTGTCCAAGACCTTCTGGTGTATGGCAACCTTTTAAAGAAATTGATTTTGGTTTACCATCAACCCATACAATGAATGCTGTAGCAAATGGTATATTTTTTATTGTTTATCTAAAACCAAAGTTATGGGTATGTTTATTAATAATAGTATATGTATTTATTGTTGCAATTAGTAGAATTTATATGGGAGTACATTCTCCAGCAGATGTTATTGCTGGAGCTTTATTAGGACTTGTTTCAATGGCATTTTTTGAATTTTTCACTGGTTTTCCTCAGAAATGGTATTTTATTCCAGTTATGTTGATTTGTCATGTTATTTTATTGTCGCTTCATTCTTTGTGTTTTACTAGATATACACCATGTTATTGGAGATCAGTTCTTGGATTTGGTTATATTTTATTAAATTTTACAATGGAAGTTTTAAATTGCCATGTTGCTGTACATGACATGCCACCATATTCTTGTATTATTCATAGTCCTTTATTATTATTAAAATGTCTTATTTTAGGTTTTAGTTTATCAAGTATTGGTTATTTCATGTTAAAGTTACTTCAATTATTATTTTCTCATTTACCATCATTATTAGATTGGTATAGTACTAAAGCTAATATTATTCGTATTCATTGTCATTTAGACCCTCTTGAATTTACTCCAGAAATGAATCATAATAGATTGATTTATGCCAATGAATTTTTTTCTACTTATATAGGTGCAATATTTATTGCTTGGATGTGTAAGTATGTTTCTCCTACAGTAGTTCAAAAAACTATACCAGAATTATTTCAACCTGGTTTATGCCTTTAGTTAAAGTAAAGAAAGTTTGGGTTAAAAGGTAAAAAAAAATAGAGCTTTAAAGTATACATTTCTTCTATACTACTTTTATTGTTTTCTTTTTTTTTTCAGCTGAGAAAATAATCTTACTTATGTTACTTTTTTCTTCTTATTTTTTTCTTAGTTAGAAAAAATACTACAGTCATTTTTGATTTACATAGAAAATTACCTTATAATCCAACTATTTTAAATAAAATATTGAAAATATATATTTTGTTTCTTCTTTAATAGTTGGACTAAACCAAACTGCGTTTAGTAAAAAAATAAAGGCAGAATAGAGGAAATTAGGTAAGAATCCCACTAAAAAAACAAGGGCTTTGGAGAGTAGAAAACAACCCCTTTCAAATAAACCCAGCTGAGTAAAATGATATAAAAATATACTAAAAAAACAGGTCCATAGGAACTATATAGCGTTTAGAGAAGAAATAGAAAGAAACTGAATAATATTTAATGACTAGTGTATCTCAGTCTGAAACAAAAAATGAGAATAATTCACTCACCCAATCTCCTTCAGGCACTCCTGAAAGACAACAAACTCTGGACCAAAAAAAAGATCAAAACAAAACAGATAAGCCAAAAAAAGTTAGGTCAATTGTAAGAATATCTAAATTAGAAGATACAGTAGATAAAACTTCATCAAAAGATATCCTAACTACAGAGCCATTTATTGACCGTAAAACTATAGAACTTCACCAAATTGATATTTTGAATGATAAAGAAGAAGACCTTCAACTAGTTCGACAACGGCTGAGTAGTGTTTCTTTTATTGGAAGAAAAACAGAGAATGGGAATGGAGATATAAATACTTCTACTCTATCAGATCAAGGAAAGACCACTTTGATTCTTTATGATGATTCTTGTTTTCTTCCAGAAGAAGAAGACAGTAAAAAGCCAAAAGAAAGACACTCATGTATTGAAGTCTTTGGTAATGAAGAAGAAGAACCAGAAAAGTTAGACGAAGAAGAGTTAAAGAGAAAAAGAAAAAAAGAGATTGAAGAGTTCAAACTCTTTTCAGCAAAGAGGAAGCTGTAAGTTTGAAATAAATAAAACAGAACCTACATCATTAATCATCAACACAAATGTAATTTTAATTATAAACTGCTGGTACTACAATTTCTTGGTTTGAAGGTTCTTTCAATTTTTTTGTATTACATCTTGTTTTTAAATTTAATAAAATACTTATTGTCCCCCTTCTTCCTTATAACTATTAATACTAAAAGATTGTCATTTAAAAAGAAGATAATCTTGCGTAGATGTTTATTCTACTAAAAGATTTATAAAGAGTGTTAATTGAGTAAGTTTGAAAAAAAAATTGTTTATATAGAATCTACACTATGTAGAATGTGTTTAATAAATCCATGAATGATGTAATTTCTTCCACAAACACAAATGTCATGCAAAATTTTATTTTTCATATTAGCAACACCAATACTCTTTGTTAATGTTGACGTAATAGAATTTTTTCCTTTAAAAAAATTTCAGTAGAATTAAATCTTTCATTCTTAATACTATAACCTGATCTTTATTTGAAAAAATAATAAATATGTTAGTATAGTAAAGAAATAACACCCACACCTTCGTTTTGTAATTTGGAATAAAAAAATAATTCTTTCTTTTCGTCAACATCAATGTCACATAGGTGTTGATGAAATCTTCGGTTAAAATCTTCTGTTACATCAACCCCACCAATAATAATACTTTAACAGCTACCTGATTCTAATCTTATTTAGTTATAATAAGTAACTTGAATAATTTCACTTCTACTTTGCACCACACAGTCACTTATTTTGTTGTTTTTAATAAGAGTCATCAGTGTTTGAGATTTTAGACAAAAGTTAGCCACATCAAAGTATTCAAAAAAATTGGTTTTATTTAAAACGGAAAATTAGTTTATATATTTAAAGACAAGCAGCAAGGTATTGCACCCTTTAGGACATCCTCGTAATGGACGTTTTTAAAGTAGTCAAACGCCTCCTCAAAAATATCTTGTAACTCTTCTCAGTCAATGGCTTTACCTCGTCTCATTGGATTACTTCGTCTTTGTACAGTTTTATTTTGGTTCAAATTTTTAACTATTTCTAAAGTGTGCATAACACATTGATGGGATTGATTCCAGTAAGGAGAAATTGAACTTTTTGACTTCCAAGTTTATAATCACTGTATTACTCAACAAATGGCATAAAAGTATTTTGAGTTTAATTAATAAAACGTGTTTTATATTACACAATAAAAAGGAAATACAATAAAAATAACAAAAAGAAGATCTCAAAAGAACTTGAAAATGAAACGCCAGTTGAAAATAGAGAAAAAACCCCAAAAGAGGAGATCTTCATCTTTGTTAGTTAGATGAATAAGGAAGAAGCAATCAGTATTATTCAGAGTGCAATAAAAGAATACTGTAATAAGAAAAATATATGGGTAATGTTATTTAAAGCATGTGAAAAGGATTTAGAGTCATATCACAAAGCCAAACAATTTGATGGAACAAAGGCTGAAGTAGGGGAATTAGAACAAACATTAGTTAAACTCCAAAACGAAAATGCTAAATTAAAAAATGAACTACAAGCAAAGGAAGATATTATCAAAAATTATCAAAAAGAATTAATCGAAGTAGAAGAAAAAAAAAAAGGGGTGGATGATAGGATATTAGAAGAAAAAGAAAAAAGAAAATCTGCAGAACTTGAATTAGAAAATAAAAAAGATGATATTATTGAATTACAAGCAATGGTATCAAATCTTAAACAAAATCTTGCTGGATTACAACAAGAATTAAAAAATAAAGAAGAAGAAATCTTAATTGAAACAGATAAATCTAATAAAGCTTTAGCAGCACAAAAGGTTTATCAAGAACAAAAAGAAAAATTAGAAAGTGAATTAGCTGATATTAAAATTAAATTAGACACTACTCAACAAGAACTTGTTGCTACTCAAGCTCGAGCTGATGGAAATGAAAAAGAAATTGAGGATATTACTCAGGAGCAGAATGGATGGATCAGACAGGCTAAAGAAGCAAGTAAACAAATTGATTCATTAAATACTGAATTAGAAGAAGTAGAAAAGGATCTTGATGATGAAATTAAAAGACATACAGCAACTAAAGCAGATCTTGAAAAAACTAAAAACGATTTAGAATCAAGTAATAATCAAATAAATAAGTTAAAAGAACAATTAGAGAAAACTAAAGCAGAAAAAGATGAAAATAAGAGTGTGGCTGATCAAGAAGTAGTTACTAGAAAAGCAGTTGAAAGAAAAGTTTCTGATTTAGAAAAGAAGGTTGAAGGATACAAAACTGATTATGAGACAGCACAAAATCTTGTTAATGATTTACAAGTTAAGTTAAGAGCAGTCACTAAAGAAAAAGAAGATTTAGAAAAAGAATATTCTAGTGGAAATAATATTCTTGAAGTACTTCAACAAAGTAAACAAAAAGGAGATGAAGAAATTATCAAATTACATGATGACCTTGCTGAACAAGCTAAAAAAACTACTGATGCTATGAGAGATATAAAACAATTAGAGTATGACAAAGTTGAATTAAATGGAGAGATTACTGAATTAAATCTTGAATTAGATAAACAAAAACAATTAGTAACTAAATTACAACAAGAAGTTAAACAACTTCAAGATGATAAGGAACTTAATGAACAAGATATTCGAGATGCTGGATTTGAAAATAAAAAATTAACTAATCAAATCAATGATGCAAAAGAAGCCATGGACAAAGAGTTAATGAAAGAAGAAAAATTAAAACAAGACATTCAAACTTTAAAAGATACTATTGCTAAAAACTATGAAGAACATGATAAGTTAGAATCTGATATTAACAATAATGAAAAAACTATTAAACAACTTCAAAATACAAATAAGGTATTAACTGAAAATCTTGAAAATTGTACTAGAGAGAAAGAAGCAGCATTAAGAAAGAAAGAACAAGTTGAAACAGATTTGAAAGAAAAAAGTGAAGAGTATGACGCATTAAATGAAAAACAAAGAGAATTAAATTCACAACTAGTTAGTCTTCAAAAAGAAAATGCTGGACTAAATGAAACAGTCAGTACAATATCACCAGATTTAAAAAATACAAAAGCCTTATTAAAACAAACTCAAAAAGAGTTGAAAGATGCTAAAGATCAAATTGAAAATTTAACTCTAGACAATGAAGATTTGAAAAAGAAACAAAAAGAGATTCTTGAAGGACATGTATCTATGGAAGAACTTGAAGACTATGAAAAACAATTACAAAGAGAAGTTGCTAAAATAAAGCAAAAGAGTGACAAGGAAGCAGAAGAGTTACTTGATGCATTAGATGCATCAGATAAGAAGAACGAAAAATTAAATAGTATTATAACTCAGTACAAGGAGAATTTGGATAAATTAACTCAAGAACATGAAGAAATGGAAAAAGCCAAAAACACAGCAGAGAAGAGAGTTATTATTGTTCAACAAGATGTCAAAGATAAAGAAGAAATTATTTCTAAATTAGAGAAAGATAGAAGTACATTGAAAGAACGAATTGCTGATTTAGAGAGTAGAATTGATGGACTTGAAGGAGGAAATGTTGATGTCAGTGTTGTTGTTAACGCTGCTACAGAGTCTTATAAGAAACAAATTGATGATTTGAATAAGACTATTGAAGACGCTAAAGACCAAGAAAAAGATCTTAGAGATGAAATCAAAGATTTAAGATTAGATATTGTTGATTTAAAGGGTGAGTTAGAAAGTAAAGAACAAGAAGTTAATAAAGCAGGAGATAAGTTAGTATTAATAGACGATGAAAATCAGTCATTAAAACAAACAATCAATGACCTCAAATTAAAGATTAAACAAAGTGGTGATGAAAAGAATGAGTTAACAATGAAAATTAAATATATGGAATTACAAATGAGTGCTCCACAAAAAGAAATTGAAGAAAAGTTAAATCAAGAAGTTATGAAGAACCAAGACCTTCAAGACGAAATAACAAGCATCAACACCCAATTAGCAGAGGCAATTGAAAAAAGAAAGACAAGTGAAGCTGAGTTAGAACAAATGAAAGAACAAATGGATGGAAAGATTAGAAACAATAATGACCTTGAAGCTACTTATCAAGAGTGTTTCAATAAAAAGAGTGAGTTAGAGAATAAAGTTGCTGATCTTGAAAATCAACTTGAAATTATTAAAGATAGTATTGAAGAAAAAGATGATAAAATTGCTGATTTGCAAAGTCAACTCTCTTCTAACAGTAATGACGCTGTTGCTAATGACAAACTTGGAGATGCTATGCAATTAAAGATTGATAGTATTAACAGACAATACTTGGATCTTAAGAGTAAATATGATCAATTAAAGTCAGACAATTTAATGGTTCTTAGTGAAAAAGAAGATATTGAAGAAGAACTATCAAGTGTTAAAGAAGAAATGACCAAAATGGAGGGAGAGTATAGAAAGAAAGCTGCTGAGATTGAGAAATTAAAGCATGACGTTACCTTTACTAAACAAGTCACTGGAGATGATGCTAATGATTTAGAGAAATTACAAGAAGACTATGACCAGTTACAAGAAGACTATGATGATTTAATGGAAGATAGTGATGCATTAACTGCAAAGAATCAACAATTAGAAAAGAGAGTAACTGAATTAACAGATGAGGTAGAAATATCACAAGACAAAATTAAAGCGTTAGAAAAACAACTTAGAAAACAAAATAATGAGTTAGAAGATCATGCAGATGATGCAGAGAATGCAGATGATGATTACGTTAGAATGAAAGCAGATAATGATAAGATTAGAAAAGAACGAGATGAGTACAGAAATAAAATCACTGAAATGGAAGAAAATATGGATCAACTTAAGAAGACTATTACTGAACAAGATATTAAGATAACTGAATTAAGAGGAGGTAATGGAGAAGAGGCCTTGAAAATCAAAGCACAAATTAAACAGATTGAAGAAGAAAATGATAAAGAAAAAGAAGAGTTATTGGCTAAGGCTCAACAATTCAAAACGAAGATGAACAAATTCAAAAAACAAGCTCAAGAACTAGCTGAAAAAGTTGAGGATCTTGAGGGACAACTTGAAAAAGCAAAAGGTAGTGCAGCAGCAGCTGGGGCTAGTGATCTTAAGAGTAAAATCAAAGACTTACAAGACGAGATTGAAGATGTAAATCAAAAACTCAGTTCAGAAAAAGAGAAATCCTCCAGATTACAAAGGAAGGTTACTTCATTAGAGTCAGACTCACAAGATAAAGATGAACAAATTGCTAAATTGAAAAAGAAAATCAAAAGAATGATGGTTGATGATGACTGAAAAGAAACATAAAGATATTTTAATTTCATTTCTTTTTTTAAATTTTATTTTTTTAAGTAGTTAAGAATTAATTAAAAGAAATTAATTTAAAACAATAAGATCAATTTATGTAATGTCATTAAATCTAGTGACTCAATTGAAAATGAAAGATCAACACCATCAAAATTATCTTGAGTTTGAATTATTTGAACTACTCGTTGTAATTGTTCTGGTGTTGCACTTTCGAGAAGTCTAAGAAGTACATTTTCCATTTTATTCTTTTTAAATGAATATTGACGATCACCAATACATCCTAATGGTTCTAATAAATCTGTTATTGGGATACATTCTAACTGATCTAAATTACGAGAAGATGCAAGAAAAGCATCAAATAATTTTTTAGAAATATGAGGAGAACATCTATGGCTATCTACTTCATTTTGAACTATTTTATGAATTTCATCGAAATTTGATTTAGCTTGAAGAACACAGTTTTTAGTTTTTTCATCAAGTAAATATAATGGATTACATTTTAATGGAGTATCATATCTATTGAGTTGAATCCTTGAAAAAAGGCTATATCTTTGTTCATATGGAATTGATTCATCTCTGTAATATTTGTTTAATAAAGGAGAAAGAATTATGAATAATTCTTCTATTGATTTAGACGAAAAAACTTTTTCATAAGACCCTTTTAATGCATTATCAATATCAGGGATTGATAATAAATACATCTTTACAAATGTAACAAAAGACCTATTCATTAATCTTATTATTCGAGGAAGATGAGATCGGTTAACACCGAAATAATAAATTTATTTTTTCTTTAATTTTTTAAATTTTTTTTAAAAACTCATTTTTAAAAATGTATATTTTATTTTTTTTTTTTTATTTTCAATGTTAGTTTCATTAAGTTTACTTTAACAATGAATTGATACATTATTCAATTTGTGGACTTAATGAAATTTCTGTACGAAGAGAACAGTCGCAAAGTTAAATTTAATTCAATTATTTGTCAATTGTTAATACAAAACTATCCAAAAAGAAATTAATTTAGTAGTTTAATAATTGATTAATACTATTTTCTATTCTATAAAAGAATTTGACCTCTTATGTTGAACATTTTACAAGTTTTGATCTTTTTTACATTATGCTATTAGTGGTATAAAAGGAGAGAACTTAATTAATCTATAAGTGTGGTTTCAAAAATGTCTCTCCCTAACACATATCCCGAACACTATGAAATTAACAAAGAATCTAAGTACTATAGAAATCTTATTCCTAGACCATTATTTGAGGAATACTTTAATAATATTAAGAAGTTAAGTATTGATTTTTTATGTAAATTAGATCCAAGTCATGCAGAATTATACAAATCATTTGTTCCAGAAATAGATAACTTTGTTAATCAACCATTTTTTAAAGAGTCTATGTATGAAATGTTTGCTGGATGTGAAGACCAGACAAGTGTTCCCTTTAAAACAACAATGAGAAGTTCTGTTGCTAAGATGGCAGCTCTTATAAAGTATAATTTAGAACTAAAAATAGATAAAGAAAATATTGAGAAGATTAAAATTAAAAAACCAATTTATATTGTTTCACTTCCAAGAAGTGGTTCTACATTTACTCATGCAGTTCTTGCTTGTGACCCTTGTGCAAAAACAATTAAATTATATGAACACCTTTCTCCTGGTCATAAAACAATGACATATGAAGGAAGAGTTGGATTCTGTAATTCAATCATTGGTCAAATTAACTCTAGTTCTAAGGACTTTTGTAAATGTCATGCTATGGACAATGCAAATGCACCAGAAGAAGAATTATTCTTTATGGAACTTCTTGAACATACAATATGTTTTGGAACTTCAATGCCTAGATGGGAACAATATAGAAAATCATCATATGAAAGAGATTTCTCAAATGTCTATGAGGCTGTGTTAAATGAAATGAGAATGTCTGCAGTAGAGTTTCCACTTCCAGAAAATGGACACTTCTTGATGAAATGTGTTTCTCATTTTATGACTATGGTACCATTTTTTAATATTATGTGTGCTGATGAAATTGAAGCTAGAATTGTGTGGATTCATAGAGAACCTGTTGAAGAAATTAAGTCTGCATTTTATTTACTTGATAATGCTAGAGCTAGATATCTTGGAGATCTTGGATGTGATGATCCAAAATGGTTACATGAGAGTATTATTAAAATGCATAATATTGCATTAAAAAATGCTGTTTCAACAAGAGAGAAATGGATTGCTGAAAACCCTGAAAGGGAAAAACAGATTTGTGATATTGGGTTCAATGAAATGATTGCTGATCCAGTTAGTGTTTCAAGAAGAATATATGAAAAGTTTGATATGCCATTTACTGATGAATTAGCTCAAAGAATTAAAGATATGGTTACAAATAATGATCCCCAAAAGAAACATGGAAGAAAAGAAAAGAAAGATGAGGAATTTACTGTTCCAGATAATGTTGTAAGAGAACAATACAAATGGTATTTTGATAAATTTGGAAAGTATATGCCAAATTATTGGGGAAAAAAATAAATGATTTTTTATACTTTTAAAATTATTTTTTTTTATTAATATAAAATAAATGAAAAATAAATAAAATATTTCAAAGAAAAATCAATCATAATATCAAACTTTTAGTCTTATATTTTTGTTAGTATTTAGTGTATTCTTTTAAGGAAGTGCTTTAATTTGGTCAGCAACAAAATCAACAAATAAAGCTTTTCTATAATATCCATCTAATGTTTGTAAATGTTTAGTATTTAATTCTTTCATACGATCTAAACTCTTCTTAAATTCTTCACTATTAAGACTCTCTAAATCCCATTTTAAAAATATAGCATTCATAACAGTCTGTGCTACAGCCATTGAAACATTTCTTTCATTCCAATATCTAGCAAATTCATATAATTTCTTTCCTAACTCTACATCCCATTCTTCAATAGCCTCAGAGACATTACAAGAACTACAACAATTTAATGCCTCTTTTTGAAGTCCTAATTCAACACATACTTTTAGTGCCTCTTTCCATTTACCTTGTCGAGTTAAGTTCATCAGTTTTTGACCAAGAAGAATTTCTTTTTCTCTTGATGTAACTCTTTCAGCAACAACCTCAGATGAAATGTCTTGAATAAGTGAAACTAACCCATTATCTCCTGTAACAATAAAGTTTTGATTGTGTTTATTAATGGACCATAATTTCTCTTCAGAAACATCCAATGTTTGTGTGTTCTCTCCAGTCTTTACAACCCATAATCTTACTGTTCCATCATTACCAACAGAAATAATTTGAACACCGTCATTAACAAATATTGCCTTAGATATTCCACCATTATGCCCTTGTAATGTTCTTAATGCAGAAAGAGATTTGACACTCCACAATCTAATTGTTCCATCACTAGAAGCTGTAGCAACAACTTGTTCTATTGGTGAGAATTCTGCTGAAATAACAGCCTTTGTATGTCCTTTTAGTACACCATGTAAAGCAAATCCTTCTTTAGGTGCCCAAAGTTTAGCAGACTTATCAGCTGAACCACTTACAAGGAAAATATCTTTTGTTGAGAAAGTTAAGCATTGAATTTCTTTTGTATGTGCAGCAAAAGCATCTACCTGTGTAAATTCATCTAATGATTCATAAGAAAATATTTTAATATATTTATCATTAGAACCAGTTGCAATCATTCTTGATTGTGTAGAATGTCCTAAAGCAGTTACTGCACCACTATGAACAGATGTGTTAACAAGTTCTTTCATATTTTTAAGGTCCCATAATGAAATAGAACCATCAAAATATCCAACAATAATATAATCCTTTGATGGTGATATACAATATGACATTATCACTGAGTCATGACCATAATACAATTGTGAAGTATGTGCAACAAAATCATATACTTCTAATGCATTTGAATTATTTAGTAATAGTACTTTATTACAATGTAATGGAAATTCAATATCATGTTGTTTTTTTTCTTCATCAGTTAATGTATTATCTGATTCTTCATCATTCTCTTCTAGAGGTAAACAACAAATTATACTCTCTCTATCAAAACAATCATAACTCTTAACCTTTCCTTCAAATGAATAAAAAATTAAATACCCATCATGACTCACATGGATAATTTCTTCTCCTGCAATCAAAACTGCTCCTGGAGATAATAATCGTTGTTCTTCTTTATTTTTCCATATTATTTCTTTATCTTTTAAAGCAATGAGATTACCTTCTTCTGTTCCAAGAATGATATATTCTCCAGCAAATTGAAGAAATATAGAATAGGTAATTGGAATAGTTTTCATTGGTTTTAAAGATTGCATATCCCACATTATAAGAACATTATCTTTTCCAATAGAAATAAGTTGTTTCTTTGTATTTAATTTCATATCTACAATACCATTTAAATGACCAAACATATCTTTTATTTTGTTTGTATGTAAATTAAATTGTCTAATAGTCTCATGAGAATCTGAAGATGCATAAACAAGGTATTGTTCTTTTGAATCATCAAACAAAACATTTGTTACAAGAGAATGAGAAAATACCAAATTATGTGTAAAGAATTTATTTTGTAAATCATAAATACGTACATATCCATCATTACTTCCCATTGCTAAAAACCCATTAGAATAACTAAAACACATTGAAACAGTGACAGATTGTTGTTTAGTAGAAGTATTTGGTGTTTTGATAATCATAAGATGTTCTTTTGGAATAGAAAGATCGTATACATAAACTAATCCTGATGAATAAGAAACAGCTAAGTATCTATTATTTGGTGAAACAGCAAAATTTAATATATCTGAAGAATCCCCTTTATATGTAAATTTTACTGAACCATGTAATGCTGAAACATACGTCGTTGTTGCACTTCACCTACCCAAATTAAATTAGAACCATCAGAAGTACAAGTAAAAGCACCTCCACCGTACTTAGTCTGAAATATGTTTTGTTTAGAAAGTTGTTGTATAAGTTTTTCTTCTTGTCTTGTAGGAATTGCTTCCATCCAGGGTTTTTTATATTTTTTTTAATTTCTTTTTAATTTTTTTTTATTTTTAAAATATTTTTTTTTATAGTTTAATTATCTCGTTTTAACTTATTATTCTCTTTGATGTTTTAATATTCTTAGTTCCATTAGTATAACCAGTCACTCTATCATTTAATCGTTTACATTCTACTATAAACTTGGTAAAATTACTTTCTTTATTCTATCATTTTTTTTATTTTAATAAATCTTTCAAATGAACTAAGTAATTCATTGAATAAGATATGGAAAATAAGTCTGAAATAGAATTAAATCAAAATCAATGTAAAAGTAATATTCTATCATTGGAGGGTTTATTAAAAAAAACAGTTGATACAATGGTAGTTTTATTAAATTCAATTGATGAAGAAAAAACAAAATATGAAAAGTGTTTTGGTCCTTTAGAAGAACACATGATAATTAATCCACCTCAACGAATTATTGAATGGGTTCATTCAATTCAACACACAATACCTTCATTAGAAGATGAGTTATCACCAACAAAAAGAAATAGAATTGAAGGAACAATGAAAATGGATGTTGGAGGAGTTACTATTAATTTTTCAAATCAAAGAGAAAAGCATAACACTTCACCACCTAAAGTAACTGATGATTCCTTATTGTTTTTTATGAATAATCAGTTCAAAACAAAGTCAGTTGGAGTAACAGTAAATATTTCAAACTCAGATTTAATGGATTTTCCCTTATTTTCTTCTCAACAACTTAAGAAAAAACAAAAGAGACATTATCCAAAATTTCAAATAGAGGAGGATAAAACAATTAACAAAAAAACTTCAAAAAGAAGAAAGTGTGAAGATTGATATTAATAAAAAACCTAAAAAAATGGAATTGAATATTTCTTTTTCTCAACTTTTTTCAATCTTAATTTTCTGTTTGGAAAACAACAAAATAATTATAAACCCTGTTGAAGTTACTAAATAAACTACTACTTCATTTATATCACACTTCATCTAATGAAAGTTGTTATGGTTGGTGATTGTGGTTTGTTTATTATTCTTGTTTTTAACAATACAAAAGAATAGAATAAAAAATAGGTGTTGGTAAAACATCAATTGTAAATAGACTCGTTAACAATGAGTTTAATAAAGAAACAAGTCCAACTGTTGCTGCAGTATTTCGTCAGACAATTGTTGATAATGAAGATGACTCGTATAAATTAGAAATTTGGGACACTGGTTTGAAATAAATTTTAAATGAAGAAAAATAATTATTCATTATTTAGCTGGAGAAGAAAAATATCGCTCGGTAGTTGGTTCTTATTTTCGTGGTGCAAATGGTGCAGTTATTGTATTTGATGTAATAGATAAAAATTCATTTGAACATATCTTTGATTGGGAATTTGAAATAAAACAAATTGCACCAGAAGCTACTATTCTTATTCTTGGAAATAAAGCAGAACAAAATAAATGGATGTTACAAAAAGATGAAATTGAAATTAAACTAAAACAAAATAGATTAAACTATTTTTTTGTATCAGCAAAGACTGGACTAAGTTTGTTTCTATTATCATTTGGAAAAGTAATTTTAAGACTCATCACTTTAAGATATTAAAAAAGCATTTATATCTCTTGCCACTACTATGCAACCAAGCGAAATTAATGAAAACGTCTGTGTTTTAAATTCAAATACTAAAGTTGAAGAAGGGTGTTGTTAGTTATGTATTCTTTTTATTTTAAAAAAACTAATGAACAACGTTTTATTAAGTTATTAAATAAAACTAGAATAGATTCTTTTCTATGTGAACAAAGTCTAATTGTGAGTGTCCAATAATTAAGAACTTTAGTTGTATTTTTATTAGAAAACATAATATAGTTGCAAGATTGTTTAAATAATTAATATAATAATAAATATTACAATGATTTAATATATTTTCTTTCTTTTTCTTATTATTTATACTATTTTAACTCTTTTGTCAACTAAAAAATAAAATAAAATGATTATATTTATTTATTCTTTCTTTATTTCTTATTCTTTTATTCATTTTATGATTACCTAATGATTTACATTATAAATTATTTATAGTCATTTAGATTTTCATTTATTCTATTTCATGAATGTAAATTAAATCATTTTGAAGGTCATGTTGTTTTAATTGATGAAAATATGAGATGTTAATACTTTATTTGTCTTCATTAATTATTCTTGTTGTTGATTCTAATTCAATAATTACTTTCATATCTTTTTGGTTATACGTTATGACAATATTGTATTGTTTAAATGTTGATTTAATTAATGCAGGAGTAGTATTTGAATTTATTGTTTTCATGATGTTTTTCATATGATTTGTTATTGATTCTCTTTGTTTACTTCTTGTTCATTGAAATGAGAGTAATCAAACACACTATTTTAAGATTACCCAAATATATTCTATCTATTTTTATAATCACAATGATTTACATTCTGAAATGATTGATGAGATAATATTTGATTAATTAAATTAATATTATTCATTCTGATATAATTTTTAATTGATTAAATAATATTAAATCAAGTGATTGAACAAGATGTGGTATGTATTATAACAATGAATAACGATATCATGATAAATAAATAATGAAATATCAATCTTATTCAAATTTATCTATTATTATTAGTGTTTTTGAGTATTTTCATAATCATAAATAATTTATTTATTAATAATATATGAATAATAATAATAATATTTAACATCATTTCGTAAAATAGATTCATTATTTTGATTATTGTTCATTTAGAAATGTAATATATTAATAAATTGTGATATTTTAATAGAACTAAATCATCAAATGTATTACAACATATTATAAAATCAGGATAAATAAAATTATTATTAACACAAATACAAATCACTGTTCTTTTTGGTGATAATGATTATTTTATAACTTCTATAGGTTCAGATAAATATACTTTTATTTGATTTTTATCAAAATACTCATTGACACATATTTCGTTAACATTAAATAATAATTTAGATTAAACATAATTACAAAATGATGATAAAACAATATAAATATCAATAATTTCATTATATTTAATATTTATTGTAAATAATCTGATTTTAATAATACAATATGTAAAATAAGAATGAAATTAAATGATAATCAAATTATTTATTAATAATGTTAATATCTTGTTTCATATTTAGTAAATCATTTTATTAATGAAATAATAATTGATATTTTAGAATTAACATATACATTTATTAATTTCATTAAATCTAAATTAATTTCTTTATTTATTTTTTTTTAAATAATTTATTTCTTATTCTCTTTTAACAATATTCAATTTATTTCAATGTGTTATATTAAATATTAATGATAATTAAATCCATATTTGATTCATTCATCATATAATATATTTGATCCTTTATCATTTTAAATAAACATTTATTTAAATATTCATTATAATATCTAAATAACTTATTAATGAATAAGTAAATAAAGAGAATTCATTTAAATTAAACATAATATAATTAAATGATAATAAATGACTCTTTAGAATAAGAATTTTTTTTTGGTTTAATGATAAGTTCATGAAGTTGAGACAGAATAAAAATAAAAAATAAGATTTAATGAAAATAAATAT